ACTCTGGAACAGGAACTTCAAACTCAGCAGAGCGTGGTCTGTTTATCAGGCAAGTATCTTTTGCCATTTCTGTCAAACCTGCTCCAATTTGGCCAAATTTCAGGCTATAGCTACACTAGAGAGCACTGATGGAGCTGCATCATCATAAACTCTCTCATAGGCACTTTAAACTGATGGGAGATAACTTTTGTATCAGCTTCACTACCCCAGCCTCTATGACTGGTAATAGCTACGTCAGCAGCTGTTGCTCTCCCACTGACATAGCGTTCACACTGGTGCTTACGTCAGCATAAATTATGTTGCTCAAGGTGATGGCAAATTCGTAAGTGACACAGCTTACGTTGACAGAAGTTATAGTGTAGTCATATCCTAAGACTTAAAAAATGCATTTTGCATATGTACAGTAGACGCTACAGTACAGATTTCCTGATGATTCTATTAGCTGCTGCAGCCAGCGGAAGCAAGTTCCCATATATCCACCACTTTAATTGCACTCCTAAGGCACATAGGCAGCACAGAAAAGGAAGCTCACTGATTCAAATTCAAAGGAACAGAAACCAAACAAGGGTGGGGAGAGGAGAGAGATAGGGACAAGGTGCTTGGCAGGTGATGGTGGGGAAGGGGCGGAGATTCGTGGACTAGAGCAGTGGTGTGCAACCTTTTTTGATCTGCAACCCCTGCACTGTGGGGACCGCCAATTGCTGGGCCCAGCCACCGGCCAGCTGGATGTAAACGCTGTGCCCAGCCCTTGGCGGGCTAGATCTAAGCATCATGGCCAACGGCTAGGCTCAGCCGCTGGCCGGATCCAAGCACCTTGACCCCCTGGGGAAACATCCATGACCGGATGCACACCACTGGACTAGAGACTGGCAGGAAGTGGAGGATGAAAACTGGGACTTGAACTGGTGAAAGTGGAGGTAAAAAGAGTTTACCTGGGAAGAAGTCTGACCCTGGTAGATAGGTGTCCCTTTCCCCGCTGCTACCCCTGCTTACCCAATGGGATTACATCCGTCCCAGTCCCCATCTTTGACCTCTGGCTGACCCTCTGTGGTCATTCTACAGTATAACTGTCATTCCTACCACATTCTTCCCTTTCCATTTTAAGAAAAACAACTGAATTCCAGCCACATCCCACTGTCCTGGCACAACCAAACCCTAGCCTTGCTTAAAGTTAGGATGAGAGGAAGCTGCATATCAGATGTAGAGGTCCTATCTCTCACCGTTTAGGAGGAGATCTTGAATTAACAGACTCTCAGATGGACACACAGATGCACAAACTCTCTCAAATATATAGTAGATATATGCATTTGATGTTTTCAGAGCAATAATTAGTTCTTGTTTAGCTCACTACTATTTTACTAATACATGCACTACTTTACTTAGTTTCTCTCTGCTGCCAAAAGGCTGCTTATCTGCATAGATTTAATCAACACAAAGAAATAAAAGAAGCAGATGGTCCTACGCCAGTGTTTGATCAGGCATGGCTGTGCATAAAGGCACACATTTGCAATATGCATAAAAACACTGACTTGAAAGAGACATACATAGAGGCACATATGGAAAAACAAAGAAACATGATGGGTACAATATTGGGAATACTATAAAAGGAACTAGACACAGACTCTTGAGGACCGACACAAAGTAGCTGCTCAAATACTCCAAGGAACCATATTGATCAACATGGGAATAGTTTCACACAACATGCATTAGATAGAAATGAGTTTCATAACACATGGCAAAATAAATGATTCAACACTAGTCTGCTCAATCTGTTGCTGCCCCAAACATTGCTGTACTGACATCATCTGCTTTTCATCTCATTACATAATGCTACTCAATGTTTAAGAGCATGAAAGCCACCTTTTTCACTGAACAGGGTGACAAGTGACCCATAGAATAATCATAGCATGACATACTGCTATGATGCTTCTCATCATGGTGATGCATCTTCACCTCATCAGCATCATCTGGCTGAAAGGAGGATAAAAAGAACTTGGTGTATTCATTTCATTCTCATCTCCCATGCTTCCAGTCCTGAACACTGCCTGCTAGGCAATGAAACAGGCTCTTATATTTTTGAACTCCACAATAGTTACCTGAAGCTTTTGAGTCCCCGGCTAAACATCACTATTCTACAGTTACAGCAGTCACTAGAAGCATTATCAGTGAGTCTGCAAAGTATTTCCCATTATAATTCCCTACTTGATAGATTTAGAACTTTACAAAATACCTTTGGCACTGAAATTTTCTAAATTTGATGTCTGCCTAAAAATTAACATTTTTTTCAAAAGTTTGAGTATAATCCCCTTCAGCTAATTGACTTGTGGAACGAGACAAACACTGTTTGTGTTTGTTTTTTAAAAACAGAGCTAAGCGAGGCCTGTGTGTATGTATATGTGAGAGTGTCTGACAGAAAGAGCACTACTTTTTGAAACCTGGTACAGAAAATATTCAGCATTGCCATGCACTGCTAATTTTATTGTCAGTCTTGCTATATTTGTGATTCTGAAACCCTAGGTCCTGGAATCAGATAAATATAGGTTTGTCTCAGCTTTCATTTTTTTAAACAGTGAATTTCAACCCTCTAGGTTCAGGCTTTTTTTTTTTTGGCCGAAAACGTGAACTTTAAATATTCAGACACCAGAAGGCAAATAAAGCCTGTAAGTTATTTTATAAAATCCTGTGACATTTTGCAATCTGCCTCATGATTTTTGCATGCTTGGTTTTGGCAAAGCTGTATTGTCTCTGTTGAGGATTAGTGCTTCTACTTGGTATAAAAGAAGCTGCAGCACTGTCCTCTGAACAGGGCATTGGTCTTGGGAGACCTCAGTTTTGTACCTGGTTTTGCCTCTGACTTGCTAGGTGACTTCCTCTCTGTATCTCTCTTTCCCATTCCCCACCTCCTCGTCTTGTTCAGAATACATAAACTCTTTGAAATAGTCTCTCTCACATTATGGTCATGGTCCTGCAATGTGTGTAACTCCACACTCTCAGTACAGGCAGTCCCCAACTTACGCGGATCCGACTTATGTCGGATCCGCAGATACGAACGGGGCTGCCCCAGAGTACACAGACTGCGGGACCTCGCGGTCCTGCCGCCCGTGTACTCTGGGGCTTTCTCTGCGTCTCCCTGGTCTGCAGACCAGGAAGACACAGAGCAAAGCCGCGGAGGGGCTCGCAGTTTGCATGATTTGTTCTTCACAAATCCATGCTGGCTGTTCCTCATTACTCTGTTATCCTCTAGGCACTTGCAAAATGACTGTTCAATAAATTGTTCTGGTACCTTTCCATGTATTGAAGTTAGGATGACTGATCTGTAATTTCCCACATATTCTTTATTCTCTTTTTAAAAGTCAGGTCTTCTTCAGTCCTCTGGGGCCTCCAGGGTTCTCGAAGATAATTACTAATGGTTCCAAGTTTGCAAGTTTGCTTCAGTTAATATCTTATGTAACCAGGATGAATTTCATCAGGTACTACTAACTTGAATCTACCTAATTTATCACAATATTCTTTAATCTGTTATTTTCCTATTTTGTCTTGGGTTCTTCCCTCGTGTTGTGAATAATTGTATTAAATATCTGGTCACCATTAATCTTTTTAATGAAACCTGAAGCATAATAGGCATTAAACCTCCCAGACCTTCTTGATGTCATCAGATCTTCTTCCTCACTAAGCAGACTAACACTTTCTGATGTCTTCCTCATGCTCCTAACATTTTTAAAGATCTCTTCTTATTACTGCTTATACAGGCAGTCCCCGCAGTTACGAACGGGGCCCTTCCTCTCCCTGGTCTCCAGCAGACCACGGAGAGGAAGCAAAGCGGTGGAACACGCGGGCAGCGGACAGGGTTATCCGCTGCCCACGCGCTCCGCGGCTTGGCTCTGCTTTGCCCCCCCGTCTCCCTGGCGGTCAGTTTCAGCAGCGGCTGAATCTGGACGCCAGTTCCGACTTACATACAGATTCAACTTAAGAACAAACCTACAGTCCCTATCTTGTACGTAACCCGGGGACTGCCTGTAGTCCTATTGAAGCTAATAGTACTTCCACAGTATGTAAAGTTAAGCATGCATGCAAGTCTTGCATAACTGAGGCTTATATAACTTGTACAATGCTAAGCACATGGTGCCAAGCTCTCAGTAAGGACTATGATAATACACAAATCTTAATTTAAGATTAACATTAAATCATTTGTACATGATCAGTGCATAATTAAGTGCAGGAATTAATATTCTAGGGTTACACTTAACCCAGGCAGTTTCAAAATGCACAATAATGTTACTTACTCCATGTTGCACACATACTGTTTATCTGATTAAATGTATGGTATAATATATTACCATTTCCATCAAACTCCATTTATTTTCTATAAAGACTGTTAAGCATGTAGTCCAAAGCGCGCACACAAAATCAGTAGCAGAGCCAACAATATAAGCACCACCGCTTCATTCCCCTCCCTTCTTAAAGTGGAAAAGTTCTATTCAACTGCAAATAGGAAGGGAGATATCCATTAGGGATGTAACAGAATAACCATTTAAATGGTTAACTGAAGAACATGAGCTTATCGGTTACTGTAAGGGTTATACACTGTTCCCAACCCTGCTCCCAGAGAGCTGGTTGTCACCCTGTGCTGCTGGCTCTATATCTAATTTTTCCATAGACTTCCATTAGCTGACTTTGAAGACCTTGACTAACTCTACTTTCATGTTTCTCTGCAGGGCACTAATGATGCAAAAGCCTTCTCCTCCACAGCGGATGCTATCAGAACAGCCTTTCTTTTCCTTCTCACATTCTTGAGTCTCAGAATCTCTTAGAATTTCTGATTTTAAACATAAATCCCCTCAAGCTAGATCTAACAAATACATGACCACACCAAATGTCACTGAAAATCATTTACTTACCATGCCCACTGTGAGTATACACTGTATTGTTTCACTAGTTGGAGCTCCAACCTCCATTCTATTCATAATCTAGAGTTAAAAGACAAAATCTAGGTGGCATACCATATCACAGTGCAACTCCAAGTTCAGGTCTCCTTTATTAGTGTGCAGTCGTATGTAACCTTTTTTCTTCACATATTGATATCGCACAACATCCTCCTCAATGGCAGCTGCCTCAAAACAAAGGTAAAAATTAGCACTTTTCAAATCTGTTCACTAACCTTTAGAAGTTATCTGAAAACAAAACACAAGATGCCTATTGGATGATATCGTCTCCCTGGATTTAGGTCCCTCAGATATGGTAATGTAGATATCATCAGAGGGTAATCTCACATTAATCTTCCTATGCCATACAATTTTCATTCTATACAGCCACAACTTGTCTAGAGCCAAGAAAGTGGTCTCTATTTTAAGCATCAGGTAACCCTGAATATTACACACTGTAATTTCCTGGTAATATCTCCTAATTATGGGAATTATTTTGAAACCAAACTGCTTCTTGCCAAACTTAGAAACCATGCAGGTAGTCATTAGCCAACCACAAATTGTTGACATATGAAAACCTGAATTGATGGAGTCAGGTCATTACTGAAAAGTCAAACCAAGGAGACTTATTTTGTGGCAAAGGAACTCCCTTTCAATCAATGTTTCTAGACACTCAAAATCTGTCTCCAAAGCATAGAAAAATAAAAGCAGGCAAACACACAGGAAACCATATTAAGTAAAGAAAATTACTTTGAAAAGTATGCAGCTAGAGTACTGGCTTCAGGCTTTAACTCAGTGTACTAGTTAGAGAGCAAACCTGTGGCATCTTAGAGACCAACAAATTATTTATAAATATATATATAAATAATATATACAGCCTCTCCCCAAGTTGCGAATGGTCGAGTTACGACCATTTGCACTTGCGACCAAAGCTCCCATGGAGTGGTCATAAAGGCAGTCCCCGTGTTACAAACGCGACCCGCACTTATGAACAGCGCGGTCGTGTGTAACTCAATGGGGTCCGAATTATGAACAGCTTGAGTTACGGCCAAGTGTTTGGTTCGTAACTCGGAGAGAGGCTTTATGTACATACGCACGCACACAAATAAAATCATGAGCTTTTGTGCACACAATCCACTTCTTTAGATAAGATGATCTTGAGAAGAAGTGGATTTTGCCCACGAAAGCTCATGATATATATATATTTTTTGCTAGTCTAAGGTGTCAAGAGGACCACTCGTTTTTAAAAGTTGTTTTTAAAGTTATAGACTAACATGACTACCCCCTCAGGGTATGTCTACACTACAAAGTTATTTTGAAATATCTTATTTCAAAATAGTTATTTTGAAACAACACATCTAGACACAAAATGCATTTTGAAATAATGTTTTGCTATTTTGAAATAGCATGTCCACACTGATAGGATGCTGAATTGCATTTAAGGCCAGCTGGAATCAGTTCTGACAGGGCATCAGGTCAGGAGTTACTTTGTGTGGCTGCTGCCTGAGGCTATCTGAGACCTGTGGTTAATGGGACCCCCTCCCGGACAGCTAGTTCTAAGGTTTCCCTGCTTGCTTGCCTACCTCGCTGAGGGACAGCAAAACATTTTTTTCTCTGCGTGCTCTGGTTGCCCTCATTCAGGACACCACAGCACTCTGCAGCATGGAGCCAGAGCTACCCCTGGGCACTCTGTTGTTTCTCCTGGGCCTTTGCTGCGAGCCTGGCAGCACATTCTGCAGGCAGTAACAGTCTCTCTGGTGTACCCCACTGCAGGCTTGTGCTTCATTCCTCCCACACGTTCTTCCACTTACCCTCCCTAACCCCCCCTTCCTGCTGTACAATCAAAGACATGTGCTTATTACAACAACGCCTCTTTATTGAGCAAAACTGGGATGGAAGGAGACTGAAACTGAGGTGAGACTGGGGAAAGAAGGTAGGAGACGGGAGGAGGGATAGGGAGGGGGAAACCTGGGAAGAGGGAGCTTGCAGGGGGAGGCAAGGAGAGGAAGGAGGAGGAGAAGCTCAGGGCTCAAGGTTGGGGGTCTCACTGGCACAACTGTCTCCCAGCACCGTAGGTGCGGGGGCCTCAGCGTCCCTGGGGGTGTGGGGAGGGTGGGGAGGAGTGGGAGCAGGAGTGGTAGCTGGGGAGGCAGCAGGGGCTGGAGCAGCAAGAGGCAGCAAGCTCTGCCCCAGAGTCAATGACCACCTGGGGAGCACAGACTCTCCTGCCCCCCAGGATGCGGTCCACAGCATCAAAATAGGGGCAGAGGTCTGGGTCTGCCCCTGGTTGGGAGCTGCCCCCTGTGGCCCTGGCATACACCTGCTGCAGCTCCTATATTTTTATGCAAACCTGCTCCTGGGTTCGCATGTGGCCTTTGGTGGCCAGCCCAGCAGCTATCCACCCATAGACAGTTGTGTTCCTCCATTTAGTGCACAGATGATGGACGTTCAAGGCATCCTCCCAAACCTGAATTAGGTCCCTGATCTCAGCACTGGACCAGGCAGGTGCCTGCCTTTTCCAGCCCCTGGCAGGTTCCTGGGAGCTGGCAGACTGGTCCTGGGGAGCAGTGGAGGGCTGGCTGGCACTGGCTGGCCGGGTCATGCTGGGGGCACGGCTGGCAGGCTTGGAGCTGGCACAGGTACTGTGGCCAGACTCTACCCCTTTAAGGGCTCTGGGGAGGGAGAGGAGTTTTCTTGGTTGTGCCCACAGTGGCCACCAGGGCACCCTGGGAAGGGCTGGAGACCCCCTATTTCAAAATAAGCGTCTACACAGCGCTTATTTCAAAATAGCAATTTTGAAATTGGCGCTATTCCTTGTGGAATGAGGTTTACCAATTTCAAAATAAGCCCTCCATTATTTCGATTTAATTTCGAAATAGCGGTTTGGCTGTGTAGACATTGGTAAAGTTATTTCGAAATAACAGCTATTATTTCAAAATAACTTTGTTGTGTAGACATACCCTTAGATTTTTGTACTAGATCTTATTTCAAATGCAAAGGAGAGCTCTTAGTCTTGGGACTGTTGAATTTGGATTAACTGCCACGTCACTTAATCAACCCTGAAATTAAAACATTCAATGCATTTTTGTTCAAGCTGGAGTACAACAGGAAAGAATTACTGTTTAAAATGCATCTTTGGCAACAAATACAACCTTGAATCGTAACAACCTTGAACCGCAAACACATTTAACCAACAAGAGGTTTTTAAGTCAAAAGACAGGAAACATTTTACACTAGGAGATCAGATTTCATACATGCATAGCTTGCATGTGTGTGCATCCTATTTTGTGGTCCATATACATAAGAAATAACCTCATAAAGTGTAGCTCAATTTCTACATATTATTCAGAACTAACGCTAAAATCAAAACTGCTACATTATTTTGGAATGAACCTACCAGCAACTGGTAAGAAAAGGGCAATGATCAGTGCCTGCCTGATGAGCTTTACCAGGTAGGTGGAGGCCAGTGCCACAACAGAGACTGATCCTGTATCAGTGGGGAAACAGATACCTGGGAGGTCACCTAGGCAACAGCAATTTGCACCAAAGCAATCTCTGACGGGGGTTGTCATGATCATGAGGGATGACCAGCAGCCTGGGGATTAAGGGGTTAACTATGTCCCTTACCTAACCAGGTAGCAGGCAGCCAGCAGAAATGTAGGTAGGAATTTCAAACTGGGACAAAGGAATTTTTGGTTTTTCCCTCCTTGCTCCCTCGGAGTTTCTCTCCAGACACTGAGGGAGACAGACATGTCTCTCTCAAAGAAAAGACTCTTCACTATCTGTAAGTAGGGTAAAGTTTAGATAAATTCGTTAGGTTTTATTTTTTTATGGTTTGGGAATGGAAAACTGATGTCTGTGCATTTAAAAATGAGGTTTCCTCTCTTTTGTAACTAAGTTTTGTTCCCCATGGGAAAATTCCCCATGACTTTATTAATTGGTGGCTCTTATCTAGCCAATCCCACTATGCTTGTAACAGGAGTCTTGTGGTGATAATACACTTTTTTTCTTTTTTATTAACCTGGTATTGGTTAATTTGCGTTTTACTTAAGGGCTGAGATTTCCCAAGTGATCTCTTTCCTGGTTTTCTTACCATAACTTGGGTGGTGGCAGTAGATTTTTATCCCCAAAATCTAGGTTTTTAAGCTTCTGGGAGGAGAGGGGGAGTTTTATACCAAAGCCTAGAAAGATAAGGTTTTGGGGTACTTTTGGGGACCCCCACTTCTGCATTTATCGTTCCAGCATGAGGAAGGAGCCTTGACGGGTATTAAGGCCATGGGGAGAAAGTGCAGCACTGGGGACCTGGGTCTTCTGACCAGACACTGAGGTTGTAGGAACAGGGTCCTCAGGCATAGGGATATCTGTAGTGTGAAGACCAGAGATGCTCCACTGCCCTATTAGGTAATCCCATGAGCTTTCCCTGGAACAGTGAGGTCTTAGTTGTGTCTGGCTCCTGGCACAGCACTGGCCAACCTCTTGGGGTCCCCTGTGCTGCTGGGAGTCAGAGACAGATCCCTAGCTTGGTGTAGTGGGGTGACTGCCCCACTTTGGAAAGAGAATTTTTAAAAGCAGTCTGAAAGGAGCTTGTGCAAACCCAGCCAATGAGAGATCAGGACATTGGCAGCCAATCAGAAGGCAACTTGCAGAGGAAGCCTTAGTATAAGGAGCTGTGGCCAGAGCAGTGCAGAGCAGGCTTGGGGAGCAGGAGAGAATCTCCAACCTTGATTCAAGGGCACAGAAGGTGCAAAGGTCACAGGGAGTGGCCCAGGTAACGGGAGCCGTCAAGGAGTGAGGAAAAAGGCAGGATATGTCTGCCACCAGAGGGTCTCTGGGTCAGGGCCCAGAGTCCCCCCCCCCAGCCTCTCTGGAGCATGTCCACTACAAACTGCAGTTTTCCCCTAGGCAAGGTGCTAGACTTTGGGGCTGCAGTTGGCACTTAGGCAGGTGTATGATTGAGGATAGTCCCAGAAGAGCGGAAAAAAAGAGTGGTGGGCACTGCTGGAGGGCAGTGTCCTGAAGTGGACACTGAAGACCAAGTGAGCGATGTGGATCCAGAACTAGAGGCTGGAGACAAGGAGAGAAAAATGGTGATGTGGTTGACACTGATCAGGAAGTAGTGCACTCAACAGATAAAGTTAGTTCTTGGTGTGACGAGCAGGAGGCGTGGTAGTAAGCAGACCCTACTACTCTTGATTAGGGAGTCTGAACACAGCAGTACTACTGTAAAGCTATAGTACAGACATGTGGCTTGACACAGGTCCTTTGCTCAAAGTTCTTTTAACCTCTGGTGCAAAGAATCCCTTCTTCTGCTGCAGCTTCTTAGGCACTGGTGAGGAGGAATGGTGCTGAGCAGGAGCCAGTGCCAGCAGGGCACTCCACATTGATATTGATGTGCTAGAAGTGGAGTCTGAATGGAACGGCTCCAACGCAGGATGAAGTGCAGCTTCCATGAGAAGGACCCTCAAGCAGAAGTTCTGCTGCTTCTGAGTACCAGAGTGAAAATTCTTACAGATCCGGCATTTCTCCTTTTTAATGGGACTCCCCAAAGCACTTCAAACAACTGTCAAAGGCATTGGCCTGTTGCATGATAAATTTGGTTTGAAATCTAGGAAACAGGGCAGAGTCCCAGCCAGAACTCTAAGTATTAGTGGTAGTTTAGTAGTCAAACTAATGGCTAATGATCAGGAGAAAAAGGTAAACAGTGAAATGGTAAAATCTGCAAAGCATCCAAAACTACTCAAGATAGTTAAGTCCAAAGCAGACTGAACAGCTTCAAAAGGATCTCACAAAATTAGGTGACTGAGCAACAAAATGGCAGATGAATGTTAATGTTGATAAATGCAAAGCAATGCATATTTGAAAACATAATCCCAACTACATGTATACAATGATGGGAACTAAATGAACTTATTATTTAAGAGTGACTTGGGAGCAATTGTGAATAATTCTCTGAAAACATCCACTCAGTGTGCAGCAGCACTCAAAAGAGCAAACAGAATGTTGGAAATTATTAAGAAAGGGAGAGAATAAAACAGAGTATCTTATTGCCTCTATATAAATCAATGGTACCCCTAACATCTTGACTACTGAATGCAAATGTTGTCACTTCATCTCAAAAAAAGATATTTTGGCATTGGAAAAAAGTTCAGAAAAGGGCAACCAAAATGAATAAGGATACAGAATGGCTTTCATATGAGGAGAGATTCATAAGATGGGGACTTTTGGAAAAAAGATGATTAAGGGGATATGATAGAGATCTATAAAAACATGGAAAAAGTGAGTAGAGAAAAATTATTTATTCCTTCCCTTAACATGAGAACTAGAGGTCACCAAATGAAATTAATAGGCATCAGGTTTAAAACAAAAACTTCTTCATGCAAAATGCAGAACTATGTAGCACTTTAAAGACTAACAAGATGGTTTATTAGATGATGAGCTTTCGTGGGCCAGACCCACTTTCTCAGATCAAATAGTGGAAGAAAATAGTCACAACCATATATACCAAAGGATACAATTTAAAAAAATGAACACATATGAAAAGGACAAATCACATTTCAGAAAAGAAGGGGGATGCGGGGCAGAACAGAAGGGGGATGCGGGGGGGTGGGAAGGGGGAGGAAGGAAGGTAAGTGTCTGTGAATTGCTGATATTAAAGGTAGGGAGAGTGGGATGTTTGTGAGTTAATGGTATTACAGGTGATAATTGGGGAAACTGTCTTGGTAATGGGTGAGAAAGTTCAAAGACTTGTTAAGTCCTTGTTGGTAAGTGTCGAATTTTAACATGAATGACAGTTCAGAGGATTCCCTTTCAAGTGCAGATGTAAAAGGTCTTTGTAGCAGAATGCAGGTGGCTAAGTCATTTAGAGAGTGTCCTTTCTGGTTAAAGTGGCAAGAAACTGTTTTCTCTTTGTGATCTTGTCTGATATCTGTTTTGTGGGCATTAATCCTTTGGCGAAGTGTCTGAGATGTTTGTCCAATGTACATAGCAGACGGACACTTTCGGCACATGATAGCGTAGATTATATTTCTGGATGCGCAGGAATATGTGTTCTTGATCTTATAACTTACTTGGTTAGGTCCAATAATGGTATCAGCAGAGTGAATATGTGGACAAAGCTGGCAACGGGGTTTGTTGCAAGGGAAGGTACCAGGGTTGGTATTAGTGTGGTATGTCCTGTGGTTGTTGGTAAGAATCATCTTGAGGTTAGGTGGTTGTCTATAGGAGACTATGGGTCTGTCTCCCAGAGCCTCTTGGAGTATGGTATCCTGTTCCAGTATAGGGTGTAGTTTATTGATAATGTGTTGGACAGGTTTAAGTTGGGGGTTGTAGGTGATGACAAGTGGTGTTCTGTTGTTGGTTTTCTTGGGTCTGTCTTGAAGTAGATGGTTTCTGGGTATTCGTCTGGCTCTTTCAATTTGTTTTTTTATTTCTCCAGGTGGGTGATTGAGGTTTATAAATGCTTGGTAGAGATCCTGAAGTTTCTGGTCTCTGTCAGTGGGATTAGAGCAGATGTGGTTATATCGTAGGGCTTGGCTATAGACGATGGATTGTATGGTGTGTTCTGGATGGGAGCTGGAAGCATGTAGGTAACTGTATGAGTCAGTGGGTTTTCTGTAGAGAGTGGTGTCTAATTGTCCATTGTTGATTTGTACTGTGGTGTCCAGGAAGTGGACCTCTCGTGTAGAATGGTCTAGGCTGAGGTTGATGGTGGGGTGTAGGTTGTTGAAATCTCTGTGGAATATCTCCAGTGTTTCTTGGCCATGCGTTCAGATCATAAAGATGTCATCGATGTAGCGATGTCCTGCATTTTGCTTCAGCTACACCAGACTAACACGGCTACATTTCTATTACTATTCTTCATACAATGCACAGTCAACCTGTGGAACTACTTGCCAGAGAATGCTGTGAAGAACAAGACTAACAGGGTTCAAAAAAAAAAAAAAAAAAAAGCTAGATAAATTCATGGAGGACAGGTCCATCAATGGCTATTAACCTGGATGGGCAAGAGTGGTGTTTCTAGCCTTAGTTTGTCAGCGGCTGAAAATGAGTGACAGGGAATGAATCACTCAGGAAAGTGGCACTGTCAACATATAGATACCACTAGGGCAAAAATCTCCCAAGACTGCATGCATGGGAGTTATGCACCTAGATTGTAATTGATATGAGCAAGCACTCAAAAAAGAAACCAGTGCTATAGCTACATAGACAATAAGGTTTTAAAATATCATGTACTGACTAATTAACAATGTATTCTTGCAATCCTCTCAGATGTATTTATATAGGGTGGCTCCCTTTATATCAGGATATTTGATTAACACACACTTTTAAAAGATAGGTATATACGGTACCTGCTTCATGTGTTGTTTCTGGGGCCATGGCAGTGGATGTGAAGGAAGCACTTACTTTCCCTGTAGAATAGTGAGCCTGTGCAAAAGATTAAAAATTAAGAGTTAAAATTACAAAAACTAGAAGGAAAAAATACACCATTATACCATCCTCTCCTGCATTCCTCCCATAAAGCCATCTTATTAATTTTGATGTACATACACGGTCAAATAATAAGCGACCTATATAACAGCAATAGTAGTAATAATAATAGATTTAGAGAATGGAAGCAATTAGTCAGCTATTGTCCAAGTAACTCCAGTTCTACTAATTGTTAAAAGGAGATCAGAAGTTCATCTATATATAGGGTAAAATCCTGGCCTCATGCATAAAATAGATTTTTTTTCCATTGTCTTCAGTGAAACCAGTATTTTACCCATAGATCTCCAATGCATTTAATAACAGCACTTTTCTTGCCCTAGTAGAACAAATTAGTGTTCAGTTTTAGTTTCTCATTCCCACTTGGTATTTTATATGGTGAAGACTGTCATATAAATAGTACATTTGATTTTGGTTTTTTTTTTTAAATGTTGCCAGAGTGATGTTTCCTAAAGTAAATATCACATTCTCAATGTCCTCAGAGTACTACAATGCTGGGTTCTAAAAATCTTGAAATGGTTCTGCTGAACAATACATATACTGGATATTTCAGTTAACAATTCCCACACTCAATCCACTGGAGAGAAAGAATGGGGTTTCTAAAATATGTTAGCGTGTCCAAGCATTCAGTACAGGCACTGCATGAACTTCCAAAATATTTACCAAGACAGTACACTAGTTATTTTTTCAAAATAGGCAAAACACCTATATGTAAAATAAAAGAAGTTATAGGTCTGAGTCTTCAGTCTTCAACAGCTATTAAAACACACATTTGTAAATTAAAGCTCTCAAGAAAGGTGGTCTGCATTAATTTTTTTTGTCAAGACATTGCTTGGAAAAAGCAAATGAAGCCACTCTGAATCTTACAGCATGATGTTATGGTACAGCATCTGGTATGCTGTGTTTCTTGTAGGTTTCCATATTTCGAATATTGACTTTATCAGTCGTAGAAAGCTAAATTTATTTATCTCATTATTACAAAAGTGTGTGTGTGAGTCTGTGGGGAGGGTAGCCCCCAAGGCTCATATTATCCTCGCTCCTGAGACTGCCAACATAAGCACAAGATTTGGTGATGTAGATACATGGTCAATAGAGATGTTAGCTCTTGGTTAACTGAATAGTCGAGTAACCGCATGAATTCTTATTGGTTACTCAACTATTCTATAGTCCCTAGGGGCGAGGGCCAGCAGCCAGTGCAGTCTGGCCCCACTACCAAGGATCCTCCTGCCATCCCGCAGTGTTGCATTTGTATGAGTCAGAAGCATGGGGTGCCAAGCGGGAGCTGGTTCCACAAGGGAAGCCAATTTAAAAGCCAGCTCCTTTCATGGACTGGCTCCCTGTTACTCCATCCTGTTACCTGTGGGGAAGGCAGCAGCCCCTCTCCAGGAGTGTGCATGTCTGAGCTCCCAAAATCAGCGTGAGCTGGCACTAAGTCGGGCTGCCTTCCCACCCAGCTCCTAATACGCTTTAAATGCAGAGCCATGGAGGGGGGAAGTCCCGGACTGAGCGCAAGCTAGGACTGAGCTGGGCTGCTGTGCAGCC